GAAAAGAGGAGGAAGAGGAAGAGGAGGGGGAGAAAAGGAGGAGGAAGTGGAGGGGAGGAAAGGAGGAGGCGGAAGAAAGGAAGAGGAAGAGGAGGAAAGGAGTGGGAGGAAAGGAGGAAGAGAAGGAGGAGGAAAGGAGGAGGAAGAGGAGGGGAAGGAGGAAGAGGAAGAGGAGGAAAGGAGTTGGAGGAAAGGAGAAGGAGGAGGAAAGGAGGAGGAAGAGGAGGGGATGAAAGGAGGAAAGGAGGAAAAGGAAGAGGAGGGGGAGGATGGCAACGGAGTTAACGCTCTTGGCACGCAGGGCCGGCTGGGGGATTCTGGGAGTTGAAGTCCACACGTCTCAAAAGTCACCCAATGTGCGGGGGGGCGTCCTTGCTCTAAGTAGCCCGGGGTCCCCTGGTTGACACCCCCCCGGGGAGCCCCTCACCTGCTTGTCTGCTGGCTGGCCCCTCCTCTTCTTGTCCCCCGGGGGCCCCTCCTGCTTGCGCTCCTCGCTCCTCCCCTTGGGGGTCTGGGGCCGGGGGAAGCAGGTGGAGGATTTCTTGGCCTGCGAAAGGAAGGCGGGGTGGGGGGGGGGGGGGGGAGGGGGGGGGGGGGATTTCCACAGCTTCAGCCAAGGAGACCGGCCTCCCTCCCCCTCCCTGGACGGCTAGTGACAGGATAAGGGAGTTGGGAGGGGCCCCAGAGGCCACCTAGTCCAGCCCCCTGCTCCAGCCAGAGACCCCCGGTCCATTCTGGACCAAGGGCCGCCCCGTCCTTCCTTAAAAGCCCCCACTGAGGATGGAGTCCGGTGGCGAGCGGTTCCCCTGGATCATTGTCCTCCCCGTTGGGCAGGTTCCTCCTTTCGTTCCAGGTTGCTTCTACTCCTTGGCGGAGTTTCCGTCCTCGTTGCTCCTCGTCCGGCCTGGAGTTGCTTTGGGGGACAGCTTGACTCCTCCACCTTTGGGGCAGCCCCTCCGATACGGGGAGGCGGCCCTCACGGCCTCCCCACCCCCCCGCCTCTTTCCTGGCTGGGGAATGCTGGGAGTCGGAGTCCGCCAGGCCTCAAGGGGCCCGGGGGGGGGGCCAGGCCCCTGCCCCCGTGTCAGCAGGCCCCCCCCAGGCCCCGCCACTCACCTCGGGGGTCCCCGGCCCCGTCTGGGGCTCGTCCGAAAGGCGCTTCCGCTGCTGCCGCGTGGCCACCCCTCCCAGCGCCCAGGCGGCGCTCAGCGTGCTGCGACGGGTGCTGGGGCCCTCGAGAATCTGGGAGGGCAGCATGGTGGCCCT